TGCTGGCCCAGAGAAATATTAGAGCCATTTGGGATTTTTGTTTACTAAGGGTTGCAACTATTTTATTGCTTCTTGCTCAAAGAAGCTGGGTGTGACATTTGAAACAGCTCTGCATTTAACATTTAACACAGACTGGACTGGGACTTAACACCAACTCCCGGCACTTTCCCCTTTTTTAATTGTTTTGTGACCCTTCGAAGCTGGCGCACTATTATGTGTCATTTGGTTGGTCCTAAGAAAAGGTGTTATGTGAATTATGTTCTTGTTTTTAGTTGAAAACAAGCCAATAAGAGAGGAACACGTGGCACTGTCAATCAGCCCAAAGACATCTGTCAGGAAACCTAAGCCTGGGTCCCTCTGAGCCACTGCCTCACAGACTAGTAAGCAGTGCTCAGACTTGTGGGTCCCTGATGTTAAATGCACACAAGACGACCAAAACCTTTAGAAAAATACAGTTTTATTTAAGCAAATAAAATTAAGAATACCACTAGGCCACACAGTCTCTAGTATTAATTAGCAAAAAAAAACAATGACAGCTAACTTTTCTGACACTTCAGTACCTGGCATTAACCGGTGCACCATTCAAAATGGCAGTTTATACGTCTTCCCATGGGATCAAAAGTTAGCATAACGTCACCCTTATCTAAGGCCCAATTATAGTTTCTTGCTCTTCGGCATCAGGCAGTCTTCGGAGTCCAAATCAAGGGAGCTCATTCGCTGGAGCCCTCCAAAAGATGATGCAACTTGCTCCTGGCTCCCCCTTACATCTAGTTACTGAACTGAGCGCAGGTTTTTCACTTGGCCAATTACTGCATTCTGAAATCAGGACTTCAAAGAGAGAGTGATTGTGTCTAGAAGAAAGGCTAATTACAAACACTTTCAAGCTGAACCAGACCCACTGTTATTCATGTTAACCCTTGGTGAAACTGGGGTGCTTTGCCTCACAACATCCCAGATCAGAAATGTTTTCAAGTTCTCTAGATGGCTTGAAGAGACCTCGCAAGGATCTCCTGAGCACTAGCTTTTAAAGTGCTTGATAGGGCTTACTACTTCTCTTCTACTTATTCTGGGCCTTCTTGGCTGAACTAGGTCTGGGCTGCCTGATAATAACATCCCACAGGGGCCTTCCCTAGACTGCAGCCCCAGTTTGAGCAGAGGCCAGGGAGGTCTATTGTGTACGGAATGGCTTCAGGTAACAGAGGAGGAAGCTGATTCCAGACAGTACATAACCTGGTGCATCAGGACAAAGAGCAGATTCCCGAGACAGTTCATTCATTCTTGTGTTTACCCTAAGCAAGCCTACCACTCCTATGCTTCTTTCTGCCAAGACCTTTCAGTCACTCCTGAAGTCTTATCAATGTGGCCAAGGTCCATGAAGAGCAGACTACAGCTGCAAGAGGGAGAAATGGGAAAGCACCTTAAAGAGATTATAAGTGTGGAAAGCCCTGGCCTCGGTAGCCCAAGCTAGCCAGATCTCGGAAGCTAAGCAGCATTGGCCCTGGTTAGTGTCTGGGAGACCATCAAGGAAGATGGCTGTTGCTACATAGAGACAGGCAATGACAAACCACATCTGTCTCTTGCTTTGAAGACTCTACAAGGTTGCTGTAAGTCAGCTCTCATTTGTTGGCTACCCAACCCCGGTGGAAATCACTTTTGAATGTTATTCAGTGAAGCTGGACTAGGACAGAGAGACGTTCTGTTGCTCATTGTGCTATTAAAGACAATGCAATACTTTCTTGCAAGTGTAGCTGGTGCACTCATCTGTCCAATATAGATAACAGTTCCCTCCTCCCCCTAGCTGTGATAAAAGAATAAGTCCAGGACACTTTTCAGATGGGACAATTGAGTAGTGTACATATACATATTAGTTTTAGCCCTGTCTCTTTTTCCTTTGACAGGTTCCCAGAAACCAGACTAAACTGTCAGTCATGCTTGAAAAACTGGGGATGGACTATGACGGACGGCCTCACAGTGGACTTGACGATTCAAAGAACATTGCACGGATAGCTGCACGGATGCTTCGTGATGGGTGTGAGCTCCGGGTGAACGAGAGGCTGCATGGGGGGCTTCTGCTGACCATCTCCTCCTCTACTCCACTAGAGGGAGCTCCTGCCCCACAGATGTCCAAGCCCAGATAAAGATTCGAAATTCAATTCTGCTGTCTTTAGGATCCTGGCCAAGACCAACTGGAACTCCAGAAGGCCATTGCAGTGGACTCCAGGGCTTGTTTCCCAGTCAGCTACTTTCTGACATTTACAGTTTATCAGAGCACCATTTATTTAATTAATAAGGTTTGTGAATTTTTTGTCCTTGTTTGATGATCGTGAGTTTGGTTTTATAAACTTTTGGAGTATTTGGTAAAATGGCTTGCTATAAAATAAAGCAACCGCTTTGGTCAGCAGGTGCACAGGTGAAATAGACACACACTTTCTTTGTCTAGTCGGTAAGAAATGAGTGGCTGCATCAGTACTGATTTTTATGGCAGAAGGCACCTTCCCTCCCCCCCCCCCCACCCCCCCAGTGCTTCATACATTAATTGCAAGACCTCTTTTTCCACCAGTGTTTTTGGACTTGATCCAGCTGGGGCGGGGTGCTTTGAATTCTCCTTTGATTTCAATAGGAAAGTTAAGCGCGTGATTACATCTCTCCCATGGGAAGTGCAAAGAACTTCACTTTGACTGGGTCATGCCCATTCCTTGCCACTACTTTATATACAGAATTTCTGCTTGGTTTTATTCCTTCAGCTTTATTGTAACAGTTGTAAAGGGAAAGGTATCTTTCTGTAATACCTTTGAGGAATGCATCTTGGGTTTTGATACACCATTGTATTAATTCATTCTTGTGACCAAAGACAAACTTGTTACTTCCATGTACATAAATACCTGTGCCAAACAGTGATGAAACTCTACCCAGTTATCTGTTTCAACACTGGCACTTTTGAAAAGGGATAAGTCTCAAGCTCAATATAAAATCTGCCTTAATATATAACGCCTCCAATTTGTACTGGCGTGTAAAATAGGAGATATTTTTCAATATCTGTATTAATGTATGACTTGTACAATTTGCGCAGTGTTGGGGTCTGGATACTTCTGCCTTTTGACCTGGTTTGTTTGTTGTATCACGTTTTTTATCCGGGTTTTTCTCCAAGAAGCTCTGGGGAGCTTTTGTTCCTGTTTTCTCCTCGCAACAGTCTTGTGAGGCTGAGACACAGACTGGACTATCAGTCATGCCCAGATTCTCCCAATCTAACGCCGTTCCATTCTGTCTAGTTCTGTATGTAGCTTATGTGGCCTGTATGTGTATCTAAGTTTGGCACTGTATAAGCCAAATAAACTCTTATTTCCAGGCAACGGATAACTTGTATAAATATTCCACCCTGTCCAAAAATCTTGGACACAGAGATAATTTGAGATCACCCTCTGCGGTAGGAGGGTTATCAGCATTATTCACTTTTATTTTCACAGCACTGGCTTCCTCTTCCTAACAGCCCTTTCAGGTGGACCTTTAATTATGGTAGGGCATTAAGGCTGGGCAATTACTGCTGTTACTGAGAGCAGGCCGGAAGCTGGTATAATGCCTGATGAGGCTACCTAGTAACTCGGACAAAGATAAGATTTGAAGTGGGGGGTTTACTAAATCATACCTCAGGCTCTCACCCCTCCCCATTTCTGCACCTTTCAAGTTCCAATTTCAGGGATTGCACCATTCTAAACATACTCTGGCCACCCTTGAGTCAACAAGAAACTTTCCATACTTGGTTTGTAGCAGTATTCTGTTGTAATGATATTGCAACTACTGGGCTTCAGAGCTGGGACGCCTAGCCGTGAACTGGATGACCCCGTCACTGGGATAGTGCAGGCCATAGCAGGTGATTCACAGAGACCGTGGGCAAGCATAGCCCATTAAATGGGCATTGTGTGCTAAATCCATCACGCCCCAAGGAAAATCATTTCCCTTATCTTGGCAAGAATTCTTATCTCAGAATATGTGATCTCTCTTGGACTAGTTAACGTTTCTTATGTTTATCTTAAGTCAGTCATTTACTCAGTTACAAATAGCACCGAGTGAAAAGTTTGTACTTGGTGCCACTACTTTGAAAGAGAGACCAAACCTTTTTTTGGCAAATGGACGAATATTAAAGGCCAAAGTCTTCAATATACCTCTCCAAAGTAGGCATCTTGCCATTTGGCTGGGTGAATAGCCGAGTGAGTGCCACTGTGGCTGCTTCATGCCCTTGGGAAGGAGGGTCTTTCTTACTGTGCGGAGATCCCTTTGCAGTCTGAAGAACTGGACCTGGATGCAGCTCTTAGGACAGGGGCTGATCACTGTTGTGCTGCTGTCACCTTCAGCTTGTTTTGCTGGATTCCTAGGGAGACAGAAATGAGCAGGAGGCACTGAAGCATTTAAAAAATCAGCTCTTGTTTCCTAGCATTTTGATTCAACAAGGATGTTTCAGATGCCTCAAGGAGACCTGCAAGGCCTTGAAAATTTGGTCTCCATGTTTCGTGCAATTTAGTGCTCTGTGCTCTTCAGAGCAGTGTGCAGCTCTGATCTCATACCTTGATAGTAGTGCCATCATCTCAGTGTGTGAAGATGCCCTAGGACAGTAGCCCTGACCTGGATAGCCCAGGCTAGCCCAATCTCGTCATGCCTCTGAAACTAAGTAGGGTCAGCCCCGTTCAGTATTTTGGACAGGAGACCACCAAGGAACAATAGCGTCTGCACACAGAGACAGGCAATGGCAGACTACCTCTGAACATCTCTTGTCTTGAAAACCCTATGGGATTGCTAGAAGTTGCAACTTGACAGTGGCTTGGGAGCTGCATGTGGCTCTTCCCCCATGTGGCACTGGCCCCATGTTTGGGAAAGTGGGCAAGGCCTCTGCCCAGTGGGGCCTGTGGCTAACAAATGGTTCCTACCTTGAAGCAGCTACCACCAGAGGGACAGGTAAGCTGTCCCTGAGGTGCAGTTCTCATGCCAGAGACAGATGAAAATATGGCTCTTTTGGTTGATGGCAATCCTGTTTGTGGCTCTCTACAAGCCACTGAGACATCACAACTGCCCTAAGATTTCCTGACACAGCCCTATGCTATTGTGGATAGGTGCATGGGAATTCCAGAAGCATCACCATTGTCTTTAGGAAGTCCTGACTGACTCAAGGAAAAGAAGATTGGAATACTGGGAGGTTGTATTAGTTGGGATAGCCTGCCGTTGCAAGAAGGATGCCTGCCTGCCTGCTTTATGGGGAATTAACTGAGAAAAATGATTAAACAAAAATTGTACTTTTGTGTAGAATGATGTGTGCATTCCAGTTTTAACGTAGGAAAAAACTCTCAGCCAGAGTTTGGAGAATGCTGTCATTATTCAATTTACCTAGGCCAGATACAATATAGATCTACCAATATAGATCTATACAATATAGATCTACCACCTCATAGAGCAAAGTAATCTTCTGCTATTTATTCCCAGACGTATGAAACCAGAGGTTTTCCCAACTTTCTGTGTTTCTGTGGCAACCCCTGCCACAGAACCCCTGAGATTCGCAGCGGATTCTGAAGTGCACACCTGGTTTAGGCGAGATTCAGGGAAGATCCTGTGCGGCGTAGAGGGTAAAGTTTTGGACTCAAACCAGGGAAACAGCAATTCAGATCCCCTACTCTGTAGTGATCCTCACTAGACAGCTCTGAGTCGATGGTGGCCCTTCGACCTAGTCTCTCTTGCAGTATCCTGAGGATAAACTAAGATGACCTCGTGTATACTGCTCTGAGCTCCTTGGAGGAAGATGGGCAGACTGCCCAACTGGCCCATTGCTGTATGGGTGTCGCTGTGGGCAAGCTGCCTTTCTGCTGGTCTCACTATTGATCTTTGTGCTGAGGCCCCCTCTGGGTGGTGGTTCCCCAGAGCACTATGGCCTTGCATGAAGGGACACTTGGCTTTGCAGGCTGGAGCGTGGCAGCACACGGTGTGACTTGGGACAACAGCCAAGTGGGAATGTCCACCGCCTTCTTGTGCACGGGGTCATCACGGGGTTATCGGACTTCAGTAAACAAGGTGATAGGTTGCCAGTGGACAGTTGCCTGCTGAATGCATTGTAGGACAAAGGCTATAAAAAGACGTCTCGCTCCAGGGTAGCCTGAATTTAGCTTTTTGGTTTGTTGCAAAATCCCTAGTACCTAGGGGGTGCAATCCAGCCAAAGGGAAATGTTTTACAGCTCTGTGGATTTCAGTGAAAGGGAGAGATGTGCAAATTCTCACCCTGCTTCCAAGACGAGGGATATGCAATTGTTACCCTTGCAGATATGCTCATTTGAGCTCTGTAGAATGCTCTGGATCTGTCTTTTGAAGTAAATGGGAATGAGCATCTGGCACCACTGATGGGCTGCCCAACAACGACAGCTAGATCGGCTTCTCAGTCTAAATTCTAAGCTATTTTCTGTTCCTGGGAGTCCTGTCCCTCCCCTTTAAGAAGTGTGACTGCTGTCATGCTCATTTTTGTCTTTTACCTAATTTATTTACTTTACCGTTCCAGTGTCAAAGTCCTAGCAGTGCCCAATTGCTAGTGCAGACAAACAGCCCTACTGGATTTTATGTACTGATCTCTCTTACGAAATTAAGAAAGTATTGCTGACGACTGTTAATAAATACAACTTTGCCATTACAGCCATCAAGGGCACAGTCTGGTCAAAGTGAAGGTCTGTTAGGAACCACTCATTTCAATAGAACTTTATACTTATCTTCCATTGCAGTGAATGAAACTGCAAAGTGCTTTTTTGGTTGTGCCCTAAATTAGTGTGTTCGTGTGTGTGCTCTTTCTTTACAAGTATTTTTGTGTACATATAGATAATTTTTCCTCATTCTGTCTCTGTGTTTCCATCTTTGTGATTGTCTACATTGTCTAACATACCTGAGAAAAGTATCTTGGGATCATGGAAAACATGAAAATGACCACATGGTTTGTGTCAGCACTGAAGCAAGTCTATTCAGTGGTAGAAATTATTACAAAGGAGCAAGTATCATATGTGCATTCACATGGGAAATATAACAAATCTAAATTGCCCAGATTCTGATGACCACCAAGTTTCGTATTTTTAAGAAGAAGGTATTAATATTTCTGCATAATCTGAGATTTTTTGGCCAAGGCTTAAGTCTTAACCTAATTAGTGTGTTGGATTTTCTCCCATTGCCTTGCTAAGACTTGTTTCGCACTATGCCCTTTAGGTACCTTTCCATCTGCTGATATTCGTGCCACTTTTGTTAACATTCTGCTGAAGGAAGAGTTCAACAAAACTCAAAAGCTTGTCTAACGCATTATAAGTCCTGGTTGGTACTGGTTTTGTTTCCTGCTTGGAGATATATATATATATTATATTTTACACACACACACACACACACACACACACACACATATAAAAACACACAGTCCTAAGAACACTTTCCTAGGAGTAAGACCTAAGGAACAGACCTGCATAGGATTGCTCTCTTCTGTCTCTCACCATATTAGATTT